AAAGGGATTCTGTTAAAAAAAAACAATAGAATTGAAGTTGAAGGATATACTGATGCAGATTGGGCTGGTTCTGTAGGTGACAGAAAGTCAACTTCAGGTTACTGCACTTTTGTTGGGGGAAATCTAGTTACATGGAGAAGTAAAAAACAAAATGTTGTTGCAAGGTCTAGTGCAGAGGCAGAATATCGAGCTATGGCTCATGGTGTTGCGGAACTGTTGTGGCTTAAAATTCTTCTTGGTGAACTGGGAGTGAAGACTGAGTATCCTCTCAAGTTGTACTGCGACAACAAGGCTGCTATCAACATTGCAAGTAAACCAGTGCAACATGATAGAATAAAACATATTGAGATAGACCGCCATTTTGTTAGAGAAAGAATAGTCATAGGAGAACTCTGCATTCCTTACACTCCCTCAGAGATGCAAATTGCAAATGTTTTAACTAAAGGGCTAACCACAGTGAAATTTTTAGACTTACTGGGCAAGCTAAACATGATTGACATCCATGCTTAGCTTGAGGAGGAGTGTTGGTTCGGCTGATATGTTGTTATTCTCTTGTCTGGGCTGGGTATTAGAGTCTCTAGTTAATGGGCCTTAGTAACTGGGCCTAATTGTATCTWGTGTTTTATTAGACTGGGTGTCCCATCACTAATCAGGGGCATCCTGGTCCTTTCATGTAAATTATGTATTGCTCCTATATTAGTGAACAGTGCCGGTTGATGAATAGTGCCCATTCGAACACATCAGACTCTCCTCTCTTCTTCTTCCTCTTCTTCTTCTTCTCAGCTCTCTCAACAGGTTCAGTTCGGCAAACAAATCTAGATCAGACTTTTCAAACAAATTCTCAGCTTATACTTATAAAAAAAAAAAAAATTCTCAGCTTATTATTTTTTTTCCATTAGCACTTTTAGCACTCCGAGAGATATTACATTCATATTGGAATATGTGCAATTCTTTTGATGATTTAACATGGTTTCAAAACTACTTTTGCAGTGCTATGATCAGTATTTGTTGAAAAGTTTGAGAAGAGCAGCAGAAGCTAGGGGACATTCTTTTTGGGGTAGAGGACCTGATAATGCAGGTTCTTATAATTCCAAGCCACATGAAACAGGATTCTTTTGTGACGGAGGAGATTATGATAGTTATTATGGAAGGTTTTTCCTTAAATGGTACTCTCAAGTTTTGATTGACCATGCTGACCGTGTACTTTTTCTGGCCAAGCTGGCTTTTGAGGGTACCTGCATTGCTGCAAAGGTTAGCTGTCATTTTCCTGTATTTCTTAGATGAAGGCATAATTTCTTTACCCAAAATGGACAGGATCCAATAGGTAACATTGCTATCTTGGTGGTTTATATGTAGTAGTCAGGGAACAAGAGACAATTGGTGGTTGGTTGTCAAGTTATTAAAATTTGTATTTGAAAAGCCAAAACACATGGTGTGCAAGCTTTGTGGAAGGGTCAAATCACAAGCATATGATAAAACAGGTTTAAGTCTGAAGCAGCCAAGATTAGGACCATAACCTGTTCATCCCTCCCAGGACCCTGGATAACAGGGACCAGCATTTAGTAGTGGTTCCTTTAATAGCTAATGCAACTGTTAAGAGACCATATTCTGTTACATTGTAGATCTTTATAAAGCCTTTAAATAAAAACTACTAGTAGTCATCATCCATGTTAAGATGCTATTACTCTGGTTCATTTGTACCTTTTTATTATTTTAGTATCATTTTAATAATTTGATACGAAGTCCTTTGAAGGAAACAAAATGGTAAAAGAAGACTGCCACAATGATCATTAGAGATCCTAAAATGGTGTATAAATGTCAAGTTTGACCCTGTAAAGACCATTGGATTTGGCAGTTAGGTAGAGCTGTCAATGGGTCAGGTCTGGTTCTGGACAGGGTGTACCAGTCCCAAACTGATTATTAATTGGGTCCATATGACAGACCCGGAACCATCCCAATTATTAATTGGGACAATTGGGTCTGACCTGATTAGACTTGAAATCTATAATTATATATAATAAATAACAATTTAAAACTTTATTTTGATAATATATAACTTTAATAAATATGACAGTAGAATAGTAAACTGTTTATATGTTGTTCATAAAGTAAGTGTTTTTAACCAAAATTATCTTATATACTATCTATGAAATTTACCCTTTTGGACAAAGTATTACAAAAATTACAAGAAAACCTGGAGGCCTTCATATATGTTATTAACTATATAATCGGTTAGGGCCTGAATTGGTTTGGAACAGCAAGAATTGGTACTGACCCAATTATTAATTGGGACAAAACCACAACCAGAACCAATATAATTGGTTCGATGGTTTGGTTCTGTCAGGTAGACCCGACTCATTGACAGCCCTACAGTTAGGCTTTGATCAAACTTCTGAGTTATTTTACCAGTCATATGTCAATCTCATCTTTAAGTTGTGATTTTCTTTGATGACTAGTTATCAGGTATCCATTGGTGGTACAAGACGGCCAGCCATGCTGCTGAACTAACTGTTGGGTTTTACAATCCATGCAATCGGGATGGTTATGCCGCAATTGCTTCAATGCTAAAGAAGCATGGGGCTGCTCTTAACTTTACCTGTGTTGAATTGCGCACTTTGGACCAGCATGAGGACTTCCCAGAGGCACTGGCTGATCCTGAGGGCCTGGTCTGGCAGGTATTCAATTGGCTTCATCTCAATCTTGTCTCTGCATATGCTGCCTTAGTACAGTATTACCTTCAGAAAGAATTTGGTACTATAGAGTATAGTGGGAATCATAGTTGTAAGCTTCTAAATCCTTATTGTTCAGCATCTGTGCTAAGGAGTTCGAACCAGTAGAGAGAAGGGAGGAAGAAGAAGAAGAACAGTTGATTCTGATGGGTAAACCCTATCAGTCGACCATATTTTAGATTAGCCTCTAATTAGTTGTATAAAGACTAAACTGCCCCCACTTAAGTATGGGACAGAAAGTCTCTATTAAAACTGCCACATAAGCACATAACTTAAAAGAAATAAAATGACTAATCTACCCTTATTTGGATAGCTCTAACACTCCCCCTCAAGCTGGAGAATATATGTCATATAATCCCAGCTTGTTGCATATATAGTTCACTCTCCCTGAGTCTAAACCTTTTGTAAACAAATCTCCCATTGATCACCTAAGCCCACATGTTCTGTTCTTATGTCCCCAGTAAGGACCTTCTCCCTCGCAAAGTGGCAATCAATCTCTATGTGCTTYGTTCTCTCATGAAAAACAGGGTTAGATGAGATGTGGAGTGCAGCTTGATTGTCACACAGTATTTCTTGTAGGAGATTCCTCAGCCATACTAATTCACATGTAGTGTGTGCCATGGCTCTGTATTTGGCTTCAGCACTACTCCTTGCCACAAACGTCTGCTTCTTACTCTTCCATGACACAAAATTTCCTCCAAGAAATGTGCAGTAACCTGTATTAGATCTTCTATCCGACACTGAGCCTGCCCAATCTACATTTGTATACCCAATTACCTCAAGTCTTCCTCTTGGTTTGTACAATAACCCATGGCCTGGAGCTCCCTTCAGGTACCTTACAATTCTAAGAACTGCATCCCAGTGAGGTATCTGAGGGTTCTGCATAAATTGGCTCACCACACTGACTGCAAAGGAGATGTCTGGTCTTGTGATAGTCAAATAGTTCAGCTTCCCCACTAACCGTCTGTATCTTCCAGGATCATCAAATATTTCCCCTGTATCATTGCTCAACTTAGCATTTGGCTCCATGGGAGTTTCAGCCGGTTTTGCACCCAACAGTCCTGTTTCATCCAGTAGATCAAGAACATATTTTCTTCGACACAGGTTTACACCTTGTTTTGATTTGACAACTTCTATACCCAAGAAATACTTCAACGTCCCAAGGTCTTTTGTTTGAAAATGGTTTTGTACAAAGACCTTTAGTTTATTAATCCCCAATTTGTCACTGCCAATTATGACAATATCATCCACATAGACTACTAATAAAATCTTTCCGACTTTTGGATCATAGCTGAACATTGAGTGGTCAACCTGACATTGTTTCATTCCAAAATTTTTCACCACTTCACTAAACTTCCCAAACCAAGCACGAGGCAATTTTTTCAACCCATAAATTGCCTTTTTCAATCTGCACACCTTACCATCCTCCCCCTGAGCAACAATCAGGTGGTTGCTCCATATATACCTCCTCCACAAGGTCACCATGAAGGAAGGCATTTTTAATGTCAAGTTGAAACAAGGGCCAATCATACATAACGGCCAGGGAAATTAAGACACAGACATAGCCAATCTTAACCACTGGAGAGAAGGTTTCCATATAGTCCACCCCATACAACTGTGAATAACCTTTAGCAACAAGTCTGGCCTTCAGACGCTCCACACTACCATCTGGCAAGTATTTAATAGTATACACCCATTTACAACCCACAACGTGCTTACCGGGAGGAAGAGTAGTGAGCTCCCACGTTTGAGTATGTTGAAGGGCAGAGAGTTCCTCTTCCATTGCCTGCCGCCACCCAGGTGAGGTAAGAACCTCCTGGACATTCTTAGGTATAGAAATAGATGACAATAGTGAAACAAATTGGCGATGTGAAGCGGAAAGGCGAGAGACTGAAACAAAATTGGAAATGAGATGGAGGGTACAACTACATTTACCTTTCCATAAAGCAATGGGAAGATCAAGTCCTGAAGGTGCTGGGACAGGAGCAACAACAGGATCCGCAGACAAGGTAGAAGCTGGAGGAGGAGCCAATGTCTTTTGATGAGTATACACGTGTCGGATCGGTGGTCGTTCAATAGGGATCTGCACTGGAGGAGATGAAGGATCAGCCCCAACTAGAACAACCAGAACGGGATCACGAACTGGAAGAGGAAGAGGAAGCAAAGGTGGAGATACCGATACTTCAGGTCCCGAGAAGAAGGGGACAGACTCAAAAAAGGTGACATCATGACAAACATAGCACTTCCGAGTAATGGGATTGTAACACTTATACCCTTTCTGGGTCCGAGAGTAGCCAAGAAAGACACACTTAATAGAGCGTGCATCCAACTTGTCTATCCCAGGACTCAAATTGTGAATAAAGCACACAAAGCCAAAGACTTGGGGTGTTAAGGGAAAGGGAGACAAGGTGGGGAACAAAATAGAAAAGGGAGACCGACCATGAAGAATGAATGAGGCATCCGATTAATAAGGAAACAAGCAGTAAGTACAACATCGCTCCAAAATCGTTTACGAATACTCATATGATGAAGAATAGACCGAACAGTTTCAAGGAGATGATGGTTCTTTTGTTCAGCCACCCCATTTTGCTAAGGAGTGGATGCACATGAAGTTTGATGAATGATGCCATGCTGTTCTAAATACTGTTGAAAGGAAGTAAGAAAGTATTTGCGATTGTTATCTGAACGAATAACTTTGATTGGAACACCAAATTGTGTACGTATTTCAGCATGGAATTTTTGAAAAATGGAAAATAATTCACTCATTTCTTTCATTAAATAAATCCATGTCATCTTTGAACAATCATCAATAAAAGTGACAAAATACTTGTAACCATTACAAGACTCTATTTTAATCGGACCCCAAACATCTGAATGAACCAAAGCAAAATGACTCAACATACGACGACTATCAACCCTAGGACTGAAGGGAACCCGACGATGTTTCCCATACTAACACGACTCACACTGTAAAGACAACAAATGACTCAAAGACGGAACCAGTATCTTGAGTGCCTTGAGAGATGGATGTCCCAGTCGACAATGCCATTGTAGAGGAGTGAGTGAAGTCTGAAGTGCAACTGACGATCCACCATCGTCAAGGTAATACAATCCACCGGCCTCATGCCCCCCACCAATCTTCTTCCCCATCTTGAGATCCTGAAAAACACAAAAGGAAGGGGAAAATGTAATAGAGCAATTAAGAGTCTTAGTTAATTTACTGACAGACATAAGATTGAATGGAAATTTAGGTGCATATATAAAGAAAGAGAAGCCATGTCAACATTACCAACACTACAGATGGGAGAAGAGGAACCATTGGCAAGGGTAACAATTTGAGATGTGGAAGTTTCAAAGAGGGAAGAGAACACACCTGGAGTCCTAGTCATGTGATCAGAGGCTCTAGAGTCAATAATCCAGGGAGGCATGTTCTCCCCCTCTAGTACCACGTCCACCTCTTCTGGCTGTCACAAAAGCTGATCTATCAGACTGTGTGGGATTCTCTGTCTGTCCCAAAGAAATCTTGCGAAGCAGTGCAAAAACTTCCTCAAGTGTAGGAAGAGTAGAGCCTCCCAATATTTGGGCCCTAACTGGTTCATTCTCTGATTTTAACCCCACTAAGAACCTAGTGACATCTAGTTGCTCCCTTTGTTGTTGCTGAACCTTGACATCTGGAGTGAGGGGATGATAAACATTGAGTTCATTTTTGAGGTTCTTCATACTGGCATAGTACTCCTCTAGGGTTTTATTCCCTTGTTGTAGATCAAAATACTCCTGATAGAGCTGATATACCCTTGTAGTATTATCCTGCCCAGAATAAAACTTCTTGGCATGTTCCCATATGTCCTTAGCTGTATCTAAGAACATAAAGTTGGCAC